CTTCAGCTCTCTATTTCAGAGGTCGCCACAGTGGAATAAATTACCACATTTTCTGACATAATGTTTTGTGCAGTGGATGCCCTTCCAAGCAGCAACCCATTACTGGGAAACACCCATACAAACATTCACAAACACACACACACACACACTCACTATATACAGCAATTCACCTATCGAAAATGGACCAGAAATGCTAGGACTCAAACCAGTTGACCTTATTGCTGTGAAGTGACAGTGCTAACCACTCAGCCACCGTTCTGCCTAAAGCAAATTTTCTTTGTTTAAACTATAGCTGTGTTTTTTTATGAAGATCAAATGTATGTAACATTGCTCTAGCAACAATAAAAAAAGTTATATATCAAAAATAAAAGTTTTAAAAGCAGCTACCAAATATAAATGCAAATAAAACACTGTTAGGGGCTAGTTAAACAAGAGACAAATGAATATATACAATTGAAGTCTGATTGGGGGTATATTTGCTTTGTTGATACTTTATATGCATTTTCTTGATCTTGAATAAAGTAATAATAATAATTACTTGACATTATATAGCGCTTTTTTGGGTACTCGAAGAGCATTACACATTTTGGGGTAATCTCCTCATCCACAAGCAGCACATGCATAAAAAATAAAAGTAGAAATAAAAAAAATCTTTTAAAATATAGTTGTTGAAATCAGTAATTATTTAAATACTAAATTATCAAAGTAAAACCTAGTTTATTTATGTCAACTCAAAATCAGAGTTAGATTGAAACATTATCAATGGATAAAATAATGATGAAATAAACTGATTTTTATTCTTGTCACAATGGTAAGCTAGTAATTTCAGTAACGGTTATGAGGCAATATGGTTATGAGGCCACAACTATATATAAGAGCAATATTACACTCGTAGCATTGCGATATACTTGTATATCAGCACTGGTGGGGTGGGAGGCGTGCCTTAGTGCCCCACCAGTGATGATATACAGCCATATCGCACTGCTACGAGTGTAATATTGGGTTTATACAACAGTTTAAGGACATATTTGTGTGTATAAAACAAACAAACAAACACGGAGTCTCAAAAACCTTTTTGAAAGAGGAACTACTATCTTCAGCCATTCATTCACATCTGCAGCTGACGTCAAAACAGCAGAAACCATTGCTACTTCACCAACGTCACTTTAGAGCTAGTATTTGAATGATTCTCTAGTGTACTGTCTAAAATGAAAACAAAACAGGTGATTTTGCTCACATTCTAAGATTATAAGGGTGAACAGCATGAAATGTTATCAGTCTACAGAGATTTTCCAGTATTTCTCTGTTGCAATCGGGAGATCACAATAATTAACCCCGAAAAAGCCAAAGCAGCGCAAACACTACCAGATTACTGTTGTGTTTGCGATTCGGAAAAAACGCTAAACACATGCAGGCTTTTCTTCTTTTTTTTTTTTTTTTTTACTTAACTAGTCTGCAGTAACAAAAACAGGAGATGCATTAGAAACAAACAGATAGCCAAGCAAAAAGTAACTCAGGGCTATACAAAGAGTGGCCAACACAAAATACCTACATTCCTGATATGCGAGTACCATCTCGCACTCAATAAACTTCAATTACTGTATAAATACAGCACTGCAACATATAAAAGAGAAAGGTCAACTTAGAATGTCACCAGTTTAATAATGATTTGATAAGCTGAAGTCATCTAAGAGATTTTTATGGTGTCTCTCGCCAGCTTGTGGATGGACAATGTCAAACGTCTTTGCTCTGCTCAATGACAGGCCAATGGCCGCCGATTCGCTGTCTCAGAAATTATAAATATTTTAAAATAGGCACTGTCCTTTTAAATAAACGGCATATTTGCACTCTAAACAACTACATTCTCGACTAAAAAAGCCTCAAAAGTACAATATGTTGTCTAACAGCTCCAATATTTGTCAAACTGTAGTGTCCTTTGCTTGTCGCTGTATGTGGGCGAAGTAATACACAAGGGTGAAGGGTTAGGAGGCTGGATGAGTGCTGTTATTTGCAGAATATTGCACGGCTATCAGTCTATCAGATTCAAGAACCAGACAGAATTTAAACATTTAATTTTTTTAATCATGAATTAAATTATAAATAATTAATCATTATTATCATACGTTTTCACTATTTTTGCCAATTCACAGAAACAAAATTATGCTAGAAGGTCTGACGACCGGTTCTCATAATGCAGTCTGACTAAAAATGTTTTGCACACAAGCTGTTTTTTTGGCCAGATATTCCCTTCATATATGAAATAATACATTTTTCCTTTGCGTCTTTTGAAGATGGATTTAGTTTCATCCCAAAAAATTTTTTTATATGACCTTCATATTACAACTTTTTGGACGTTAAAATGCCTGTAGCTGAAAAAAAAACCCAATATGTGTTTCTCAACTAATAAGGGTAGGGTTTTCTGAGACGCACCCGCGATAATGATTACACATTTGAATAAAGTACCCGTTGTTCTCTTTCTCTACTGGATTAAGACATTTGTGTTTAACTTCTAGGGGACAGAAATACACTTTGTGAGCAAATACAGTCTCGTCATGTCCCACGGCTCGCTTCAAAGTTGAAAGCGGTCGAAGCGCTGGTGTGTCAGCAGATGCAAACCTCATGCATTATGCAGATCTCCTTTTCCATACTCAGAGGAGAAGCAGCACTTCCAGAGCGCTCAGATACAGCTCGTGTCATCATGCATTTGCACCAACCATCACTTACACCCGTCTACAATAGGAGCGGGGCTGTGGTCTGTGCGAGACAACATTGGGAGCATTGTCTTGTCCTCTATGACAAAGACAGACTACTATAGTGCGTTACTCAGTGGACCCAGTAAAGACAGGACACGACCTTAACAATTTTCTTTGTCGGCTTAGTCCCTTAATTAATCCTGGGTCGCCACAGCAGAATGAATCGCCAACTCATCCAACAAGTTTTTACGCAGCGGATGCCCTTCCAGCCACAACCCATCACTGGGAAATATCTTAAAAAATTGTAGTAAAATATTATCATTGCAAAGATAAGAGAAATCAGTTATTAGAAATTAGTTATTAAAACTATTATATTTAGAAATGTGTTGAAAAAATCTAATATCTAGGAGGGCTTATTTTATCTGTATTATTCACACTGCATTACTGGCTTAAACCAGATATATCTCAGCATCTAATGCAATTCATATATTAAAAGCATAATAAATAAAAATGCTATTTTAATTCTAAATCTTGATGTTGATTAAAAAGAATCAATTTACATTGCTTAACCATGATTTTTGCTTTACTATTATCTTAATAATAATAGTTCCTTACATTTATGTAGGGCTTTTTTGTACCCTCAGAGTGCTTAACACATTTTTGGGAGGAATCTCCTCATCCAGTGTGCAGCATCCACCAGGATGATGTGACGGCAGGCATATTGCATCCGACCGCACACAACACACAGGAGAGGAGGAAGAGTGATGAAGCCAATTATGATATGGGGATGGTTAGGAGGGCAGAGTGGGCTCACCGAGCAGTAAAGAATCCCCTTCACTATAATGGGGTGTTAGGACCGCTGTTGGCCTTACTAACACCACTTCCGGCAGCATGTGGTCTCCCTTTTAGGTACTGACCAGACTCGGCCCTGCTTAGCTTCAGTGGGCAACCATGTGAAAATTTCAGAGGGCTAGCTGCCAGCTCACTTTCTTGTAGCTTTATAATAATAAGGTGCTCAATCAACTCCTAAAGTCCTAAATCATTAGGTCATGTGCACAAATGTGGGCACTGGACAATGAGGACATTGTTTATTGGGACACTTATGTGACATTTTATTGTACAACATTAATACTGGAACTTAAAAGCAACAGCAGAACTGTGGTGGTGCAGTGGGTAGCGCTTTCGCCTCACAGCAAGAAGGTCGATGGTTCGAACCTCAGCTGGGTTAGTTGGCGTTTCTTTGTGGAGTTTGCATTTTGTTCCCACGTTTGCATGAATTTCCTCGGGGTGCTCCGTTTTCCCCCACAGTCCAAAGACATGGGGATGGTTATCAGACCATTGTCCAGTGCCCAAATTAGTCACATGGTCGCCCACTGAAGCTAAGCAGGGCTGATTCTTGTCAGTAACTGGATGGAAGACCACATGGGAAAGCTAGGTTGCTGCTGGAAGTGGTGTTAGTAAGGCCAGCAGGATTCCTAACGCCCCATTATAGTGAAGGGGACTCTTTACTGCTCAGTGAGCACACTCTGTCCATCTTGGCCTCCTAACATGTGGTACAGCCGAATTGGGTAAGCTAAATTGGCCGTGTGTATGGATGTTTCCCAGTGATGGGTTGCAGCTGGAAGGGCATCCGCTGCATAAAACATACGCTGGATAAGTTGGTAGTACATTCTTAGTGGTGACCCCAGATTTCTAAGGACTAAGCCGAAAAGAAAATGAATGAATAATAAATGTATAAGCTTTTTTTTTTGTTGTTAAAAATTAATAATCCCCTTGTTTCGTGTACCAGCAACATTTCAGCTATTAATCAACTATAAATGTTTTTTAGATTGTTCTGTACTTGTCCAACTATGTTTGTTCATGGTTAAATGTAAAAACGGTTTCTTTATTTTAAACTTCTCTTGTTTGTTGTTTCACACTTTAAACGTCCGCTAAATTACTAGTGAGTATAGTCAAAGACTATAGAATACACAAGACATGTCACTCGTATAATTTTGAATGGGGAAAAGTGTAACTGTGAATATGGCAAATGAAACCCCGGCTTTTAGTACAGGAGCCAATCAGCAATCGCTATATACTGACGATATTCTGGGGGAGGGGCTCAGAATAGACGTGAGTTTCTGCTAATTTTGTGTGATTTGAACGTTTATAAACATTGACGCTTCCTGACTTTCACAGTGCATTGTGAGACTTTTTTTTAGAGCGTGAATGTTTAAATACACAATTGATTAAGGCAGCTGAATTCGATGCAATAGTAGTCGTTTACACTAAGCTCAAACTGAACTGATCTTGTGTTTGTGTTAACAGGTACTCTATCTCCCCGTTCTCCAATCTGGAACGATGTGGCATCAAACACCCAAAGCCCTTGCCATTTATTGGGAACCTGATGATGTTCCGAAACGTAAGAATTTTGGTTATTTTATGAAGCACAAAAGTCATTCTCTCCTATATGCCATGTACACACACACACTTTTCGTACCGATGTTCTGAAGCAGGAATAATGTAATTTCTCTCCGCGAGACTCACTTCATTAGATGTGTTCATTAAAGATGACTCACCGCTAATGACATCTAATGCCATCTGATTCCCAAACAGATTATCCTCTGTGCTTTTACCAGCACAGTATAAAAGACGGACGGGAGAATGGGTGGCTTTAATATTGCAGAATTAATACTTTTTAATTCCTCATGTATTATCATTTTTCAAAGTTTAATCTTTGTCCTGAGCAATAATGTAGCAAATCAACAGCTGCAGTACTTCAGGAACCCCTCTTTGTTTTATGAGAAATAAAGGTCAAGATTTTGATGCTGTGGGGCAGTTCATGTCCAGTGAGAGTCTTTAGATGTATGAATGTGAAATGCCTGTATTCATCTGGCAACCAGTAAACGTTTTTATTTATTTATTTATTTATTTATTTATTTATTTATTTATTTATTTATTTATTTATTTATTTATTTATTGTTGTGCATGCATTTTGCCATATTATTTTTTATAATATTTTTATAATTATTTTTAAGTAATTAAATAATTTATTAATTTATTTATTATTTACCAGTATTTATTTATTTATTACCAGTATTTAATAATTTATTTATTTGTTGTTGTACATGCATTTTTGTCATATTTGTATAATGTTTTTAATTATTTGTTTATTTATTTATTTATTGTTGTGCATACATTTTTGTCATATTATTTTTTATAATATTTTTATTTATTTATTTGTTTGTTTATTAATTTATTTTGTTGTTGTGCGTGCATTTTTTGTCATATTATTTTTATAATGTTTTTGTTTTTATTTATTTATTTATTGCCAATATTTATTTATTTATTGTTGTGCATGTATTGTTGTGCATGCATTATTTTTATAATGTTTTTATTTTTTTATTTATTTATTAACAATATTTATTTATTTATTTATTTATTGCTGTGTTTGGATTTTCTGTCTTATTATTTATTTAAAAAAATCAATTTATTACATATGCACAGTTCCCAGCATTAATAAGTACTCAGCCTTACAAATCTGTACATTACATTAGTCAATACCAAAACTGAAACTATAACAAATATATTAAAATACCTTAAGATCACGGTGCAAAAATGTGTACAACCCCAATCAATATGTTAGGGGAAAATAATAAAACAAAAAATGTTGTAGTTTGTATTATTTTTATAATACTTGAATCCAGATGTATTACTTTTCAAGTCTTAAAATTTTAGGTGAATCATTTAAATGAGCACAATTGATTAATAAAACTGTTATTATCATATATTGTGTATATTCACTGAGAAATGAATAAAACATTAGTTTACTCATTTATGCTGTCCACTGACACTAAAACATATACCATGTTATATTCTTTAAATTGGTTTGTAGTATTATTTATGGATTTATAATGTAATGTAATGTATAATTTGTAAACGTAAAACAAACAAGACCTATATGTTTTGGTCTCAATCAATCACACTGACCCAATCAACTATTAAATCAAACCTGTGACATATACAAGCTTTTTTCTTTTCTTTTTTCCAGAAAAAAAATGGATGTTTTATTTTCATGGCATTCACCCTCTGGCAAACTAGAATATTTGACCTAAATCTTTGATTCCAGTTGCGATAGCCGAACAGTTGCTCAGATCAATATGTTACTGTCAGGCAGCGCTGGTCGACTGGACAGCCTGTCGTTCACAACACACGTTTCATTCGCTCTTTCTATCAGCCGCTTATGACAGGCCTCCCTCTTCCTCCTCTCCCTCTCTGTCTGCCTGTCGGTTTGCCTTTATCCAGGCATTTCATCTCAATACACATCATCCTCGTTGCGATTAAATGTTATTAGCTGGAAGTGAGAAAGGCGTAAATGAATATGCATGCGTGCATAATTACGGCATGTCTAGATGAAGCTCCCAGGTGAACCAAAGGTATGAGCTGTTTTTAGTGTGTGGGTTTTTGTGCCCTTTGTCTGAGCGCATTAGTGTGTGTATGTGTGTGTGGATTTGTGCACACGTCAGCACACTGAGTCTCACAAACAGTGGTCTCCAGAGCATTGCTCCAGCAGAATCCTCTGACCCATTTCTACAGGCCAGCCTCTCAGCTAAATCCTGCAGGTCTGCATGTGTGTGTGTTTGTGCCACTGTGTGCACATTTTATGTTACTGGCACCAGAGACAGACGCAATCCCCTCTCGAGAGGCAGGTGACTGCATATCAGCTTAGAAATTTGACGAAACGCAAAAGAGGAAAGCCGAGATGTTGAAAGACAAAAAGCAGAAGGAAAGAAAGCCATAGGCTACGTTAGCAAATTCAGCGCTTGGGATTGATGACTTTGTTTCCTGATGGACAAATAGTGGAAAATGTGTAACCTTACACCCAGATGTTGCATAAAGTCATCCAGCGCTGTTTTTCAGTGCTGTAGTTTAGTGTGCATTAGTTCTGAAAACTTGGTTTTGGTTCTTTACGCATCAGATGCGTCAAACAATGCATTATGACTAGAAATTGCGAGACTAATTGATTTGTAACAGTTGTATCAGATTAACTCTAACTGTATGAATGTCATGATTATTAGCTGGAGTACCCACCAGACTCACTAGAGGGCACTTCAGCTAGATAAATACTCCACTAGTCACTCACCGAGACTACACCTCCCATTGTGTATCGTGCCCCACAGCTGAAACTGTTTACCAATCTAGACACTGACACACACACAGCTGTTGATCATTAACATTAGCTTTGTTTCCATCCAAAGATCACGTCTTATCGTAACAATGAAGGTCACGCCTTATCGTAACAATGAGTAATGCTTGAAACGTTATTTTAGTTTTCGAGTTGCTACTGTTGGGTTTTTATCAATGCTGGGATTCGTTTTTAGGAAAGTGTTTTATGTATTATCAATTTAGTTAAATTAGTCCATATGCAATCAAAATTTACAATGTTTATTTATTTACCTGTTGCTCTTGTAGGTTCTGTTTAGCAATATATTTGGTAACATAGGCCTTTATCAGCATTTGTAAAGGTTACTAACAGTCCCGTTACTTGCAGCAGTTTACTTTTTTGAATTTTGACTGTAGTTTGGTTTAATGAAGTTTAATTTCATCTCAGTGTCATTAATGCCTTTGCTAAATGTTTTACTAAAATAAACAAGTGTTTTGGTTAAGTCTATTCTCAACCCTGTGAAAATAATATTTTTTGGAAAATATAATAAGGAAAACAATTAAATATAGAAAAAATCTTGCTCAGTACCAGCCGCCATATTAAGGCCTAACATTATAAAAATGTGGTTTGAATAAGACATATAAATTTACAACTTTTTTAGAAAAATTAAGAGACCACAGAATGCATAAATTTTATAATCGTAACTTAAATCACTTTTAAATCTAAAACTTATCAAAAATCTTATATTTTAGCCATTAAACTGTTTTGAGAAACATATGAGCAATAGGTAAATGTTGGTTTTATAGCAAAAGCTTTTTAAAATACTAATATTAATAACTCATAGTTATGTCCGTTACGTGGTTGAGAATAATGGGTCTCTCAAATAAGAATAAAACAAAAAATAATATAAAGGCTTTAATGCCTGATGTAGGAAAATATTAATTTTTTTGACAATTTAAATTGTGCCTAATTATGTAGGCTATTTAAAAATATAATCAATACACTTTTAAAAGTAAGTTTGCTCAAGCTGAAATATTGCCAAATGCAAGCTGAAATATTACCAAATGCAAATTCTGACCCTACCATCCGAATGACAAGAAATTAAGACTCATCAGACCAGGCAACGTTTTTTTCCATCTTCTATTGTCCAATTTTGATGAGCCTTTCTATCAGCTCGAACCAGTCTTGCCATTCCCCTCTGACCTCTGACATCAACAAGGCATTTGTGCCCACAGAACTGCCGCTCACTGGATATTTTCTCTTTTTCTGACCATTCTCTGTAAACTCTAGAGATGGTTGTGCATGAAAATCCCAGTAGATCAACAGACTCAGAACAGCCCGTCTGGCACCATCAACCATGCCACGTTCAAAGTCACTTAAATCACCTTTCTTCCCGATTCTGATGCTCGGTTTAAACTGCAGCCGATCGTCTTGACCATGTCTACATGCCTAAATGCATTCGAGTTGCTGCCATGTGATTGGCTGATTTGCGTTAACAAACAGTTGGACAGTTGTACCTAATAAAGTGGCCGGTGAGTGTATACCCTATTTTACAATGATGGCAACACTGGCTACACAGCATCATTACTCCTGTCTTTAGTGTCATGTTTCTTTAGAAATTAATTTGATATACTGATGCAGTAAATAAATATGCATACAAGTAGATTGAAAGATGAAGGTATAATTATTTTCTCAATAAATACTTTGCGATATATAGAAACTAATTTAAGTTATTTTGTTGTTTATTTTTGTGCATCCTTCTTAAACAAAAGTAGTAATAGACTGGCAGATAACCAAAATAGACATAAAAATAGGATATACTTGACCATAAATGTACTTACAGTCATGAGAGAGCAAGGTGTCACACGTAAACTTAAAAAACAAACAAAAAATTATATATATTTGCAGTGATTTAAAAGGAAAATAAACATCCAGGTTGTAGGGGAGGATCATAGGTAACAGGAAGTGATGTTCAGAGACCAGCAGTGTGTGCGATACAGGGCAGATTGAGTCAGATTTAGAGACTAGACGACAGAGTCTCTCTCAGCGCACAGCAGCACATTATCATGACACACTCCATTACCAAATACAACACTCGCAGACATGAGATCTGCTCCATTTAAGATCCTAAACAAGCTAGATGCACTTCCTCTCTTTCTCTCTGTTGCCAGAACACACGCACATGCTTGCTTTCGCTTTATCCATAGGGGACGTATCTGGAAAACAGGATTCGTCTTGCTATTTTGAAGCACAAGAGC